TGTCTATCTTCTATTTCCAAAAAAAGGCACATTCTGAGTTCCTGGGTGGACATGGTGGGGGACATATTCAACTCAATACCTTTTAGCAGTAAAAGGAGCAAGTGATTAAAATTGTGCTTAGCTAGAAAGCTTCAGGACGAATGGTAAACAGAATTATGCAATTCTCCCCAACCTCCACCAAAGATTCATACTGTAATCCCTGAAACCTGTGAATATGTAGACTTACATGGCAAAAAGGGACTTTACTGATGTGATTAAGAATCTCGAGATGAGAAGATTATCCTGGGTTATTTGAATATGCCCAGTGTAATCACAAGAGGCCTGATAAGAGGGAGGCAGGAGAGTCAAAAACAGAAGAATGAGATGAAACAATGGAAACAGAGGTTGGAATTATGGAAGCAGACATTGGAATGATGGAAGCGGAGGTTGGAATGATGGAAGCAGAAGTTGGAATGATAGAAACAGAGGTTGGAATGATGGAAGCAGAGATTGGAATGATAGAAACAGAGGCTGAAATGAGGGAAGCGGAAGTTGGAATGATGGAAGCAAAGTTGGAATGAGGGAGGCAGCAGCTGGAATGAGGGAAACAGAAGTTGGAATGATGGAAGCACAAGTTGGAACGATGGAAGCAGAGGTTGGAATGAGGGAAGCAGAGGTTGGAATGTGGAAGCAGAGGTTGGAACGAGGGAAGCAGAGGTCGGAATGAGGGAAGCAGAGGTTGGAATGATGGCAGCAGAGGTTGGAGTGAGGAAAGCCGAGGTTGGAATGATGGAAGCAGAGGTTGGAACGATGGAAGCAGAGGCTGGAACGATGGAAGCAGAGGTTGGAACAATGGAAGCCGAGGTTGGAATGATGGAAGCAGAGGTTGGAACGAGGGAAGCAGAGGTTGAAATGATGGAAGCAGAGGTTGGAATGAGGGAAGCAGAGGTTGGAATGATGGAAGTAGAGGTTGGAGTGATGGAAGCAGACGTTGGAATGAGGGAAGCAGAGGTTGCAATGATGTGCTTTGAAGATGGAAAGAGAGGCATGAGCCAAAGAATGCCTGCAGCCTCTGGAAACTGGAAGAGACAAAACAAACAAATGAAAGACAGATTCTGTGCTGGGTTTTCCAGACGGAATGAAGCTCAGCTGACACCTTGATTTTAGTCCTCTAAGAGCCATTTCAGATTTCTGACCCCTAGAAATGTATCTGTGTTGTTTACAGCCACCAAATTCTGGTAATTTGTTGCAGCAGCATGAGAAAGCCAATACAAGAAGGAGAGCCAGCTAAGTGGATTTCTTCACTGGGTGAGACCTGGCTGTGGATGAAGGAGGGAGCAGCAGGGGAGAAATGGGGAGGGACCAATGCAAACAGACCCTTGGAGAATGGGCAAAATGAGAAGTCAGAGCCGACTTCTGCACTTCTGCTGTCATGGGCATGATTTGAAAGGGCAGGCGAGTTCTGTTTGGCGCATAAAATTTTAAAGTTTTAGAAAAGAGGTGGTGATTTCTTAAATTTATGACAGAATGTGGCATTTACGTGCAGGTTTTCAGATTCAAAAGCCTCCCAAGTGATCTCATAATCATTGTTGCTTCCAGATGGTCCCCCGCAGATGCCCTCCTTCACTTTCCAAAACTGAAGAATGCCCAGCAAACATCTCAGAGTTTTGCATCCCAGGGTGTTAAAGGCTCCGTGTTAAAGGCTCTGCTTTTGCTTGGGAGCTAAGAAATATTTGTAACCAAACAAACGTTTGATAGCTGGGGTCTTCCCTGAAAAAAATGATTTGCCCAAGACCATAGAAAAGTGTTGGAGAAGAAAAAAGAAATTGAGTATTACTACTTGCTATCAGGCTGGGATGAGAATCTCTAGGCTAAAAATAAACTATCTGCGGGTCAGCTCATTCTGTTATGACCCCAAACTTCTTAGGAAACAGTAATGCTAAAACTATTTCTCAAAGACATAGCAAATTAAAGGAATGTCATGCCAAACAGGGGACAAAAGATCAGATGGCCAGAGAAGGACTTCAAAGCCATGTAAGAATTATAAAACAATCTTTTGTTTGAAAAAGTGAATTAGGAGAGCTACAAGGATTTTTTGACACTTGATTTTGTTTATTTATTTTAAAGCAGAAAATTACTTTATAAGGCAAGGGAGATTCAGGAATTGCATCTCCAGAAATTCCAAAAAATAAGAAGAACAAGATGTCTATCTTCTAGGCATGGGTATAGGAAGTCACTGCCCACCCACAGGTGAGTAGACATGATCAGAGCATTTCAACTTTGGCTGCTAATAGTTTTGAAGTCCTTTTGTCTAGCTAGAGAGCTTTAAAAAAAAAAACAACACTGATGCCCAGGCCCCAAATCCTGATATTCTAATACAATTGGCTAAGAGACAGGACTAGATGGAGCCTGAAGTCCCTTGAAAATGTAAAAATTCCTTGATTAACAGGAATTTATAATTAGGATCAAAGATTTAGTCGGCTGATTCTTTAACATATTTTATTTAGCAATCATTTATTGTGTACACACTGTGCAGCTCTGCTCTTAAAAAACTCAACTCTAAGTCAGGCACGGTGGCTTACTCCTGTAATCCAAGCACTTTGGGAGGCCGAGGCAGGTGGATCATGAGGTCAAGAGATTGAGACCATCCTGGCCAACATGGTAAAACCCCATCCCTATTAAAAATACAAAAATTAGCTGGGCATGGTGGCGGGTGCCTGTAGTCCCATCTACTCAGGAGGCTGAGGCAGGAGAATCACTTGAACTCAGGAGGCGGAGGTTGCAGTGAGCCAAGATCGAGCCACTGCACTCCAGCCTGGTAACAGAGAGAGACTCCATCTCAAAACAAAACAAAACAAAACAAACAAACAAACAAAAAGGAAAAAACAAAAAACAAAAAAACATAAAACAAAACTCCACTCGAGTAAGGAAGTGGGCCTTTAAACAATAAGAATACTCAATTCTCACACTTGTGTAACAGGTACCAGCAAAGGATTATGTTTAACTTAAAGAGGTAGTAGAGAGGGAGGAGAGGTTAAATTAATTCAGGGGTGTGGTGGGTAGATGTAAAGGTAAGATAAGAGAAGGCTCTGGTCCTAGCTGAGTTGGAAAGCTAACCAGAGTTTGCCAGGTTGTCAAGCAAAAAGAACATTTCCCGACTCAGGGAAACTGTGTGGAAAGTCACAGGCAGGCATGGCATGCTCAGAAGGTGATCAATAATATCACTGGAAGGTAACATTTAGGGGATGAAGCAGGGGAGAAACCTGCTGAGAATTGGCAGAAGTGGGGGATGGGAGGTGAAACTGCAGAGTAGGCTGGCCCTGGGGATCCTGGGGAACCTGTCAACCTTCAGGCCTTGGAAGGCACCTCCTGGAGCTGACGGACATGGAGTGGAGGGGTCTGAGAGCTGGGATATGATCAGATTTGCTTTTTTGCAGGATCCCTCTGGCAGGCCTGGGGAAGATAGGCCTAGGGGGAGTGGGACAAAAAGCAAGGACATGAGTAAGGATGATGCAAGAGAAAGAAAAACTGAAGTGCAAGATAGGAAAGGATAGATTTAAAAGAAATTGAGATGGCAGAATGAACAAGATCTGGCCAAGAAATGACAGATACAAAGGAGGCAGGGAGTCTCCATTGACTTCCAGGTTTTTAATTTAACGAGCCAGATGGCTTGTAACACCCATCAATCATAGAACATTGTACCACAATTTATTTTATAGAATCATAGAGTTATATAGGAGCAAATATCTTGAGGCTTAACTCTGTACCATATAAAGTGAACCATGCTTCTGCAAGTCACCCCAGCCTTTAAATGTATGGTTGTGGGGGCTGGAGTGTGGGGTGTGTGTAGGTGTGCAGAGTGGAATATGGGTTGAAGCAATGAACTTTTGCTCTGGATTCCATTAGCTAATGCAATTGCTGCCCTCAAATCATTCCATATGGTTAAACGGTCCGTGGGGTATTTCTAATGAGGCTTAAGATAGTGCAATTACCCTTGTTTTCTTCTGGTCAATATTTTTATATCCCTCCTGGACATGGATGGTGCTTTACTGCTGAGCCAAGGTTACAAATGGCTGCTCCTACCCAGAATTGTGGCTACTTCTTGCTCTGCTCAATCAGTCATCCTGCCCAAGTGGGGCAACAACTCTTCTTCTACTTGTCCATCAGTCCACAACAGAACCTTGCATTTACAGCCTCTTCTCCACTGGTGCCTGAATCAATCATTTGACTTGTGTTTCGGTCCATTGTCATGCCCTCTCTAATTACCCAATGCAAGAAGGAGGACCATAAAATGGGGTGGAAAGATGCAAAATTGGACTGTACCCTAACACTGTCCCCATTTTCAGTCTAAGCCTGTTTCCCTTTACTCCTTCCTTCTTCCCTGGTGCCAGTCACTTCTCCATCTGTATATTGTCCTGGAGATGAAGGAGCAGTCCCTGGTCTCCACTTACTTAGAGGCTTAGCCCTGGAGACTTCCACAGGATCCAACCACTGTCCACATGAGGCTTCTCAGGGCCTTCCTGCAAATAAAACCCTGGTGCATCCCGAATTCACCAAGAGTATAAGTTTAGGCCTTCCCTCTTGCCCCTTACTTTAATTTTGCAGAGATTTCAGGCAAGATTGCTAGAATTTAAACATATGCCTTCTGTCTAATATAGAAATTATTCTTTTTGAGGCCAGTTGAGATGGTTCATCCCTGTACCCCTAGCACTTTGGGAGGCTGTGGAGTGAGGATTGCTTGAGGCCAGAAGTTTGAGACCAGTTTGGGCAACACAGGGAGACCCCTGTCTCTACAAAAAATTTAAAAATTAGCCAGATACGGCAGTGCGCCTGCAGTCCCAGCTACTCGGGAGAGTGAAATGGGAAGATCACCTGAGCTTGGAAGTTCAAGGCTGTCATAGCACCACAGCACTCCAGCCTGGGCGACAGAGCGAGGAGGCCCTGTCTCTTAAAAAAGAATGAAAGAAATTATTCAGTTTTAATTGTCACATAGATCTGGAAAAACAGGTTACTCCAGTATGTCAAGGCAATGTAAGTCATTTCCAATTTACTTCTATGCTCAGACCCAAGGCGTGGGGTTTCTATTAGTTTCCTTGGATTGTTGTAACACATTACCACAAACTGGGTGGCTTAAAACAGCACACAGTTGTTCTTTCACAGTTCTGGAGGCCAGAGTCTGAAATCAAAGCGTCAGCAGGGTGAGTTCCTTCTGGAGGCTCTGAGGAAGAATTCGTTCCATGGCTGTCTTCTCAGTTCTTGTGGTTGCTAGCAACCCTGTCATTCCTTGGCTTGTGGCAACATAACTCCAATGTCAGCCTTCACCTTCACATGACCTTCCAGGTGTCCCTGTGTTACATTTCCCTTTTGTTTCCCTTAGAAGCACACCAGTCATCAGGTGTAGGACTCACCCATCCACATTTAGGATGATCTCATCTTAAATCCTTGCCTTCATCACACCTGCAAGATCCTATTTCCAAAGAAAGTCACATGCACAGTTGCAGGAGATTATAACTTTGGTCTATCTTTTTGAAGCCACTGTTCAGTTGATTAGAGGGCCCAGCATTATCTCTGCTTTGGTTGTTCCACCAAGGTGGCGACTTAGAAAAAATATTTATCTGATAATTGGGGCTGTTTGAAATAAACTGGGAAATGGCTCCCTTCTGAATTTAAGGTTGGGAAGATCATATTTAGTGTTCTGAAGAGTACTTAGTATTAATGAAGGTATAGACACACACACACACACACACACACACACACACACACACACACACACACTCTTTCTAAAATAATACTATTGTAATTTTCTGCTTTAAATAAACCTCCCATTTTCTGAGGTGAATTTCCCTCTCAGTTTTCCACAAGCCACTCTATCCTAATACTTTTCCCCTAGAATTTGATAAATGATTTACCTTTTCAAATAGTGTCTCCTACATGTATTCCTCAAGGCACAGGTAGCCCTGGCATAGGAAATGCCTCTTCTCAGCATGTTTCTTCTCTGAATTTGACAGTGAAAGGATTTCTGATCATCTCCACCCTCTTGCCGGCTCCAGCCAGGGTCACGTGCTCTTCCTGCTCAGCGGTCAGCAGGAAATGGCTGCTGGGATGCTGGAGCTGTTTAGAGAGGTGTGGTTAGTTCTCATGCCCCCTGTCCCACAGGCTTTGCCATTTGGCAAACTTAGAACATTGCTTGTGAATATCAGTTTCCACTTAGTATCTGAGAAAGATTCCTACTCACATCATGCGTATCGATGGCTTGGAACCTCTTTAGAAAATAAGACTTGGAGATAAGATCTATTGCCCTTCTCAAGCACCTCTAGAGCAGAAACCAAACACTCACTCCTAGAAAAGAATGTAAAATAAGACTTTCCTTGGCCAAGACTCTCCTCATTTCTCTCTAAAGTTAACAGAGACAAGACACAAATCCCCACTGAGGAAACAAAGTCTTCTGGGAGAAAGAAGGAAGATGTGGAGGTCAGACAGAGACAGCTGGCAAAGATGCCAGCCCTGTTGCCAAGAACACCTGCCCTGCTTACCACAAGGGAGCAGAGGCCAACACGAAGATGACATTCCCAGTTCCTGTTCCTTTTCCCTAATGCTCCTACCTGCTTTGAGTTAGGTAATGCCGTTGTCTAGGAAAAAAATATTGACTGAATCCCTCTGGAGAGTCCTTTGGCCTCAGTGGTGACACTTATAAGAAGTCCACTTTAGATACCTTCAGAATTGTTTGGGCAGCAGCTTGGGGTTGGCTTTGGGAAAAATTAAATCTGTGAGACTGAGTTAAAGAGAAAATGGAACTAGCTTCCCAGGAATAATGCAAGATATGGGACTTTGCAAAAAGGGTAAGACCTGAAAGGGAGATGGAACAATTTATATAAAGAGGTACAGTACCCCCTGCATTCATTGAACTGAAGCAGCTGCAAATGAGGCGTGTTTACCTCCTTAAATGAAGGTGGTGAGATGCTCCTTATCCTTATGCGAATGAAACAACAGCAGTAACCTAAGTATATATTTAACTTCCCAGAAAAGTGGCTAAAAAATTAGTGACAAATTGTTAAAAACTCCTTTTCCTGCCTGAGTTTGCCTAGAGGAAGGAAGTGCAATATCACAATATTATCTACTGCCTGCTGTCTTCTGGAAAATAGGCCCTCAATATGGAAAAGATAGTGAATTTGAACAGCCCAGGGATAATGGAATTTATCCATCCATCCACCCACCCACTCATGCATCCACCACCCACCCATCTGTCCATCCATCCATCCACCCATCCGTCCATGCATCCATCCATTCATCCACACAGCCATCCATTCACCATTCTACAAACGCATTGAATATCTATGATATGTTGGGCACTGTAAGGGATGTAAGGATGAATAAGACATGGTGCTGAAATCACATGTCTTCACCCTCAGGATCCTGTGACACTGTAGTTTTCTTGATTAGATGATAAATCTACAAATCTTCCTTTAGCCACAGTAAACAGCTGACTACCAGAGAAAGATGTATCTGAAGTCAAAAAGTTACTGTTCAAATCCCAGCCCCATCACGAGTTGTGTGATTGTGGATAAATTAATTCAACTCTCTGGGCCATAGTTTCCTCATTTGTAAGTGAGAAATTATTCCAGCTCCAGGAAGTTACTATATGGAATAAATAAAATACATAAAACTTCTAGGTATAGTAGTTCTCTTTTCTTATTTTTTTATGGGAAAATCTTTCCCTCTACCAGGAATGTGGCATTCGTCTTTAAAATAGTTGGTGTTTATAACTTTAGTTTGAGGCTCATAAAGAAAGGAATTTGATTGTATACCCCAAGTCAGGCTTACCTGGCAGGTCTCCTAGTTTTTTTCACAATAGCTCTCTTCCAGGATTCTTGGAATGTCCAAGTTTAAAGAGGTTTCAAAGCTCTCAATCAGCCTCCTGCTTCATGCCAAGTCAACTTGGATTTCTCTTCTTAACGGTGCTGAATCTCCTTGTGTATTTTGGTTTTAGTGCATGCTAGTGCATTGAGGACTGCCAAAGGGGCCATCATTGCTCTTACTCATGCTTAAATATTTGCTCACTCAGCCTACAGACTCAGACTCAGTGACACATGCCAGGGAGCCACACACATTTCTCAAGTATGCGAGTCAAAGGCTAGTATTTATTTATTGTTGGGTCAGACACAAACTATTTATAAACTTAATTTAGTTTTGTGGGGTTTTTTTTAAATCCTAAAGTCTCTTCAACCAAAACTCTAGAATCAGAAAACATTTAATTCTAAATTATCCTGTCGTTTTGTTTTGTTTTGTTTTTTAAAGAAACAGGGTCTTGCTCTGTTACCCAGGCTGGAGTGCAGTGGAATGATCATAGCTCACTGCAGCCTTGAACTCCTGGGCTCCAGTGATCCTCCCACTTCAGCCTCCCAAGTAGCTGGGACTACCATCACCACACCTGGTTAATTTTACTTTTATTTTTGTATAAATGGGGTCTCGCTATATTGCCTAGTGTGGTCTCACACTCCTGGCCTCAAGCAATCCTCTGAAAGTGCTGGGATTACAGGTGTGAGTCACTGTGCCCAGCTTAAATGATCTTCATTATTCAAAAATGCATTTATGGATCTTATGAAAAATAAGATGAATATTGGTAAATGTCGTTTCAGCAAAAATGGGAAATATCAAGAGAAGAAGAAATTCTACAATGTGTTGATAATTTCACAGAGATTACATTGGGCAAATTGTAGATCCTTTAAATATCTTGCTCCACCAATCCTTCCTGCAAACTGCTGGTGCCCTTTATTAGCTCTGTAATCATGGGCAAAACTCCTTCAGTGTTTTATTTTTCCCATTTGTAACATGGGGACAATAATACCTACATTCAGAATGGTTGTAAGATCACAGATAACGCCTATAAAAGATGTAGCAGAAAGCCTGGCACATGACACTCAATAAACACTATATTAAAGGCATACCTTATTTTATTGCACTTCGCTTTATTGCACTTTGCAGATTTTGTGTGTCTTTACAAATTGAAGGTTTCTGGCAACCCTGCATTGAGCCAAGTCCATCAGCAACATTTTTTTCCAACAGCATGTGTTCACTGTGTTGCGTTTTGGTAATTCTCACAGTATTTCTAACTCTTTCATTATTATTGTATCTGTTATGGTGATATATATTGTATCTGACTGGTGATATTGATGTTACTGATGTAATTGTTCTGGGGCTCCATGAACCATGCCCATATAGGACAGCAAAGTTAATCAATAACTGTTGTGTATGTTCTGACTGCTCCACTGACCAACTGTTCCGTCTCTCCCCAACTCCTTGGGCCTCCCTATTCCCTGAGACACAACAATATTGAAATGAAGTCAAAATGGTCTCTAAGTATTCAAGTGAAAGGGAGAGTTTGCATGTTTCTCTCTTTAAATCAAAAGCTAGAAATGTTAAGCTGAGTGAGGAAGGCACAACAAAAGCCAAGGTAAGCTGAAAGCTAGGACTCTTGAACCACAGCTGGCCAAGTTGTCAATGCAAAGGAAACATTTTTAAAAATATTAAAAGTGTTACTCAAATGAGCACATGAATAATAAAGTTAAACAGCATTATTGCTGATATAGAAAGAGTTTGATTGGTATAGCTGGAAGACTAAATGAGCCACAGCATTTAATTAAGCTAAAGGCTAATCCAGAGTAAGGGCCTTACTCTTTTCAATTCTGTGAAAGCTGAGAGAAGTGAGAAAGCTGCAGAAGAAAAGTTTGAAGCTAGCAGAGGTTGGTTCATGAGGTTTAGGAAATAAGTCATCTTCATAACATAAAAGTGCAAGGTAAAGTCCTGATGTAGAAGCTACAGCAAGTTACCTAAAAGATCTATCTACGATAATTGATGCAGGTGGCTTCCCTAAACAATGGCTTTTTGGTGTAGACAAAACAGCCTTCTATGGGAAGAAGATGCCATCCAAGACTTTCATCACTAGAGAGGAAAAGTTAACACTGGCTCCAAAGGACAAGCTGACTCTTGTTAGAGGTTAATGCAGCTGGTGATTTTAAGTGGAAGGCAATGCTCATTTACCATTCTAAAAATCCTAGGGTCCTTCAGAATTATGCTAAGTCTACTTTCCCTGTGTTCTATAAATGGAACGGTAAAGCTTGGTTGACAGCACATCTGTTTGCAGCATGATTTACTGAATATTTTAAACCCACTGTTGAGATCTACTGCTCAGAAAAAAAAGATTCCTTTCAAAATATTACCACTCATTGACAATGTACCTGGCCCCTTAAGAACGCTAATGGAGATGTACAAGGAGATTAATGTTATTTTCCTGCCTGAACATAACATTTATTCTGCAGCCCATAGATAAATAAGTAATTTCAACTTTCAAGTCTTATTGTTTAAGAAACACATTTTGTAAGCCTATAGCTGCTACAGTGATCCCTCTGATGGATTTGGGCAAAGTGAATAAAAACTTTCTGGAAAGGATTCACTACTCTAGATGCCAATTAGAACATCTCTGATTCATGGGTCAAAGTATCAACTTTAACAGAAATTTGGAAGTTGATTTCAACCCTCATGAATGACTTGGTGGGGTTCCAGTGGAGGAATTAACTGCAAATGTGGTGAAAGTAGCAAGAGAATTAGAGTTAGAACTGGAGGCTGAAGATTGACTGAATTGCCACAATCTCTTGATCAATGGATGAGGAGTTTGATAAGCAAAGAAAGTAGTTTCTTTAGTTAGAACTTAGCCCTGGTGATGATGCTGTCAACATTGTTGAAATGACAGCAAAGGATTTAGAACATTACATCAACTTAGTTGATAAAAGCAGCAGCAGGGTTTGAGAGAATTGACTACAGTTTTGAAAGACGTTCTGTTGCTATCAAACAGCATCTCATGCTACACAAAAGTCTTTTGTGAAAGGAATAGTCAATTGATGCAGCAAACTTCATTGCTGTCTTATTTTAAGAAATTACCACAGCCACCCCAACCTTCAACAACCATCGTGCTGATCAGTCAGCAGCCATTGACATGGAGGCCAGACCCTC